ATTTATTAAAAACAAAAAAATAAGTGTCTTTTAATAGCCAATTAATTCTAACAAGTTACAATCCTACAATTGTCTTCTTTTTTTTTCTTTCATATCTACAAAAAATTATCATTCTAAATTAAACGTGTTATTGTGAACTTTTAACGGTTTAAAAAATAGATATTTTATTTATTAAACCCAACAATGTACTATACAACAAATATTTAAAAATTTAGAAAGGTAACTACGATTTAAAACAAAAAAGTCACAAAGAACTTTAATAAAAAGAATCGTAAAATCAACCAAAAAAAATTGGTGTCAGAAAATTAATTAGTGATGGAATTGTCGCTCATCCCCTAATGCAATTAAAATGGTTTGTGTTGGATAAAGTAGCGCTCCTAAGTAAGACTTTCAAAAGAAAACCTTAGTTGGGTAAAGTAGCGCTCCTAATCAAGACTTTCGAAAGAAAATCTTATTCCACCATATATGGTGAATCCATAAAACATAATAATTTACTAATAAATTGATTTGAAAGATAAATATCATAGCAAAATGATAAAAAGAGTGAGACAAAAATACAATCAAATATCAACTATTATCTCTTTGTAAATTAAGGTTCTAACGAAACAAAACACAAAGATGCGTTCTAACATCTTTATTGAGATGATGCAGATGTCTCGATACAAGCAAAATATATTACAATTTATCTGATCAATAGATTTTTTTACAAACGTATTTGATGTAAGAAAAAAAATGACCAATAATTTTTTTAGAAAACCATAGTGAATATTGATAAAGACATAAAATTTGCGGATTTGTGCAAAAGAAGATATATTCCATATGCATACGCTAAAAATTTTATTAGTGACAGTTTATTTCTTTTCACATATAACGTTGTATATGTCCAATAATTTGCTAAAATTACTTAGTCTTCTAAGCTAGATAATTATTTACTAGAACACTAATTTTGTGTAATATTAAATATATAAATAATCAATAAGCTATAAATTACTACATATTTATAATATTAATTTTTAAATTCATGCAACGCGTGGTCAGTCTCTAGTACAGATATATACTTGTGCTTTTCTCAATAAGTATATATTTTTGTCTTCAATTAATAATGAGAAATGTGAAGAGTAAAGAGGTATTATTGATATCATCGGTATTTAAATAAGAAAGAGAAATTATTAATAGATCCGATCAAGATGATAGTTTCTTAACGTGGTGGGTTTATGTGGTTTATTCGCAAGTTCTACATAAAAATGATTTATATAACTATAAATGCGTAGTTTATAAAATAAAATAAAATAAAAACTGTAAACGCGTAATCTCATGCACGTTCTCTTCTGCG